ATTGTGGGAAAGACAGCTAAAGGAATGGGGAAAATTTTGAGGTAAAGGGAAGGCAATGAGGGAACCCTCATCTAGTTCAGTTTGACAAGTATTTTTTAGCTTTATTTTTTCCATAAAAGTCACAGTGAGGTTATCTGGCAGGAGTGAGAAAGTAGGGCTGCTGCTGAGGTTTAAAGGAGGTGTCGAAGGCATAAATGAACTACCTACTGCAGGAATGTACCAGGAAATCAACAAGACAGTTACATCAGAACTACTGAGCAACTCGTAGGTGCCAGGCTGATATTAAATGGCAGAAATTTGCAGTGGTAATTTCAGTTTTATGAATTTTTTTCAGTAAGTTTTTCCTCTTGGGAGCAAAATTGTAGGTGGAGGATGGAGTCATCAGTTCTGGTATTAACATAGTAAACAAGGAACAAATTAAAGATGTGAATTTACGGGAAGTGTTAGTGAGGCAACTTTAAAGTAGTGAGCCCTGGTCTTCAATCTAGACAAGAAGTATATAGCTTGAAGCAAGTAATACACAATCTAACCTGATAGATTTCAGAGACTTCTATTGAAAAGTTGGAGAAATGAAATTTAAGAAAGCTCTAGTGGGAAGCATGTGGCATAGTGGGGAAAGTTATTACAGGGAGACAACTTAGCTACGAAACAAGGCTACAGCACTTACACAAAATATTTTATGAAAATTGCTTTGTTTTTGACCGTCAATTTTCTGGGTAATTATAGTAATCTCACAGTGTTACTTTAGTTATAAAGCACATAGCAGCTCTGGGCTTAGTAAGTACTCTACTTCTTATTCTTTCTCTTATTAGTGGGGAAAAGGATTTAAAGATTCTAGCTCTATAACAGCAATTGCTTGTGGAAGGCCCCAAATAGCCTTACATAAAGATTTTAGACAGACCGTACATATTTAAAGTTCAAACTTGTTTGCACAGCCTCTGCTGTTGACAGGGGCCAAGAACATTATAAAGAAATGAAACAGAAAGAGAGAAAACTTGAATGAAGGAATGAGTTATAAACTATGGCTGAAGGGAACTGAAACAGAACCTTAAAAACTAGAAGACCAGCATCTATTAAAGGAATAATTATTGCTAGTACTATAGGTTGGTAGATAACAAGCATGCAATTTGACTTCTTGAATATACTGGCAGCTGGCCAACTGCTGCCCAGTCTAGAGACCTGTAGGTCACTATCTAAAGTTTAACGAGGATAAGAATGTATTTTATGAATAAAGAGATGCTGTCATCAAGAGTCAAAATTAGAGAAGACAACTGGGAAACAGAAAGGTTGGTGAAGAGGAGGAAGATACACGTACAACTGCCTCCCAAGTGTAAACTTGCATCCCTTGCCTTCTATTTATACGTGCTTCCTAGGTGACGTTGGTTAGTCTCAAGATTTTAAATGCTATGTATATCCTAAAAAAAAAAAGAAGGAAAACCCTACTATGTGTATGCCAGTAACTTCAAAATATACACTTTTAGCTCTGCTCTTTTTCTTAATGCTCAGGTTTAAAGCTCAAGACTACATAACTTAATTGCCTAATCAATATTTCTACTAGGATTTTTGATAAGTATCTCAAATTTAACATGTCCAAAATAGAATCTCTGATTTCTACTGCCTACATCTTTCTCATTTGGGTAAATGATAACTATCTTTAGAATTGCTCAGACCAGAAAGTTTGGAGTTAGTCTTGACACTTCACTTTCTCTTATATCCTGCTTTGAACTCACCCACAAAACTTATTGGCTTTATCTTCAAAATATATCCTGGATCTGATTATTTCTCACCATCTCCACTGCTACCACTCTGGCCCAGATCTCTTGCCGGAGTATTGCAGATCCTTCTAACTAGTCTCTCTGCTCTCTTCCTTTTCCTTCCTTATACCACATAGAAGCCAGAGTTAACATCTAAAAATTTATAGCATGCTGCTATATCCCCAGCAGTCAGAACAGTGCCTGGTATCATCAGCACAGCAGCTTACTAAGGGGAAAGGATGATGGGAGTGGTCTGTTCCGGTAGAGAGGAGCATTTTACCATTGGTATTGTTTAAAACTGCCAGTGCATGGTGATAATAGAAAGCAGACTGATCTGCAGTCAGTTTTATTATTGGTTTCTACTTTTCTACAGATAATGCATCTGCAGAGTAAAGGATTAATGAAAAATTTATCCATCTCCACGGATAAAATTGACCTTGGGTTGACTTTATAACTCTTTTCTCCTGAAAATTTGATAAAGATGAAACATCCGCTTGTTACTAGGCAACATTTCTATGGTAAAAATGATAAAAAATACCTTGCATATGTACTGGAAGGAACTATTATACACATAAACTATAAATACCTAGTAGGAAACTATAGCATTGGGTTTCCACCAATGTGGTAAGCCTTGTAACTGGGAATTTCTCTCGGGAGGACCCTAGAAGCTGCCTAAGATTGCAAGAATACTAATTCCTATGTAGGACATGGAGCCCCTAAGTTGGTGGCTCCCATACTCTTCTAGTGAAATTCTTGTTCCCTTGCACCTGAACGTCATTTGAAGGACAGAGGAGATACTCTTAGATGGCTATGTAGACTGCCAAGAAGACTGGTCCCACTGAAGAATGCCTGCTGCTGTCCTGCTTGATGCTGAGTTTCCTTTCCAATATCAAAGTACACTCGTTCACAATACAGTGTATTTACATCTCATAAGTCCGATGTTTAGAAAAGAGAACCCCTGGTGGGAATTCCAGCATTTAATTAATTGTTCAAAAATATTAACTGAACAAATGCATGACTTTGGAAACATATGCCTAAAATTATATAATTACTGGATAGCATTAACTAAATTTTAACATACACAGTTTGTTGAAATCAATAAGGGTCCATAGAGGCTACACTGTGGTAGTTGTGGTCTATGACTGTGCTTCCCAGATTCTGATATAATTCCCTTATCCTGAACAAGTTCACGTAGTCACAAAATATTGGGCAGGTTTTGAATATGGTATACACAGACATCTTGTGTGCCTTTCTTCGGTTTGCCTAAGGCCACTGTTCTGCTTACCAATTACCACAGCGAATTCAAGAAGCAGACATATGTGACGCCATTAACATCAGGGGAAATCAGAACTAAGACTTAAGGAGAGTTGTGCTATGAATGACTAAATACACTTGCCACAGTGACAGACAAGTGTAATTTCTTTTAGCCTCTCTGAAAATAAATGAATAATATTTTTCTATTGTTTTTGGCTATCTGAGGATCTCAAACCTTTAGGAGAGATACTATGCTTTATTTCTCTCTTGTCCCCCCAGTTTCCAGTATAGTGCCACTCACAGAGGCACCCAATAAACATCTGTTGAATGAAACTACAGGATCATAGAGAAACATAATAATGGCTAATTTGGGATTAGAATAGGGGAGGAATGTTGAGCTATGTCAAACCACAGATTATAGAATTTATAAGCATTATTTCCTTGGAAAACAATGAATACAACAGGCCAGAGGAAGTAGAGGAGGGAGGTCATACAGAATCTATCAAAGCCTCTCCAAGGATTATCAAGTCTATGAGATCAGGAAACTGGGACTACAAATTCTTCCTTAGATTTCATAATGTAAATTTCTTCTCTATTTTCACCCCATCACCTTTCCCTACCAGCAGTGAGTAGCTTATAAAAGAGTATAAAAGATAGATTTAAAAATATTGCCAATATATGGGGATAACTGCAAATATTAGTCCAGCCCTACAAAAGCAATAGGAAGAATACAAGAAATATAGCTGAAACAAAGTTGCCTAATAACTAGTTATTTATGAGTTTGTTCACTTTATTTAGTTTTCTCACTTAGATGTGCAAAACATATAAATAAATCACAAATAAGAGTAGTTCATTTAGTTCAAAATAAATTACTTTCTGACACTAAACATAGTTGTCAGTTGGTCCTCGGGAAATTAAAACCATTGCTATGTAATCAACTGAAAAGAATGTTTTGGGTCAATCACTAGTTTTAGGGAATGACTAGTACAAATATACTAGGAAGTAAGCAAATCTAGAATGCTGATTTACCTCTCCATTAGCAAAACAAAATATTTTATTCTTTCCAAAAGAACTATAAGGGTATACAGAGAGCCTTGAAAATGTTCATTCCCAAGACATGAAAAGATTAAAAATAATAGTAACAAATGACTTATTTTCAGAACAAAGCTAAAGCTAGAGAGAGGGAGAAAAAGGAGGAGGAGGAGGAGGAGGGAGAGGAGAAGGAAAAGAGAAAGAAATCCTGTTAATCTTTCTATAAATAGCAAGGTCTAAAGAAATTAATTTGAAAAAATACCAATAGTTTCTGATTTTCATCTTGGGCTTTGAATTTCCAGCTGATTCACTTTTCAGTATTCCTAATTTGACATTAGAGTCTCCAACTGAATTTTTGTATAACCCAAGCAGAACAGGAATAGAAAACTTTTCAAGAGTTCTCAGAAAAAGATTGACTAAATTCCTCTTCCTAAATCAGGGGTGAGATGACATTTTGACATATTCTAAATAGCATGCCACTAGAGATGCTATCTTTAGAGGGGAAAAAAACCCCTAATTATCAAACCCTTCCTAGTGATAAAGATCACATGGAATTTTAGCAGGAAGAAGGCTAGCCATGGTATCCCAATTCACTGAACTATTTCCTACACAGAGGGGCCCTATATCACACAGGAGTGGGCACAATTCATTGTCCTAATAGACTCAGCACTTAGTTTGCACAGCTGAGTATCTACAGCTATCAGTCAACATTCTTATATTGTACTGTGTGTGTAGAAAGGCCATGGGTTACAATATTTTATTTTAATAAGTGAAAGGAACTATTTATATGTAATTTCTAGTTCTTCCTTCTCTTATTCTATACTTGAACTATCCTGAAGCCAATTTTTATTTCTCTGTCATGGGAATGTGGTAATAGCTATAATCCACAATGCTCTACATACAACACAGATGTCAGAAATACTTTTATCTGAAAGTCCCATTCCGCCATCTCCTTTTTACCTCATTCCCTGTTGACATGACTGCAACCACCGGGAACTTATTAACTTCAACCTCCGTGACACCTACAGTTGCCAGAAGACCAATCTCTGAGGGGCCCATGTGAGTTCCTTTGGCCAACACGCATTCTCCTCTTTTAATGTCATGGCCAATGGGTCTGAAAGTCAAAGCAAAACCATAAGCACGATGAGAAAGAGTAATATTTTCTAAACTCAGAGGGAAATGCTAGTGTCAGAGAAGGAGGACACTTGCGGGGAGAAAAATGGCAAGAGATGAGGCAGGAGCAGAATAAGGAAAAGAAGAGGTTCTAAAAACTCCATGCTTTTAAAATTAAAAATATTGAATATCATAGAAGACAGAAACAGGATTTGTATCTATTATTGCTAAACAGGAATATGGTACTTCATATTTGAAAATTACTTTACAAATTTGCTTTGTACCACATTATTGTCGAAAACACCAAATGCAAACATTCTTTGAATAAGGAAATAAATTATACAGCATTAGTGATAAAAAGTCTATAGCTTGTTAGTTTTGTGGTGAGGAGAATAATATTAATGAGATTACATCTATGGAATAATTTCCATTTGGGCCCCTTAGGCTGGTCCTAGTTATGTGTCTGCATCAGTCCATTCACCTTGGCCTCTTGACATAGGGGTGGTAGAAGTGTAGCTTTGTCACGAGGAGATTTGAGCAAATTAGTATGAATGAAATCAGGGTAAACATATTCCATTGTAAGCAAAATAATGTAAAGTATAAGCTCTACTCATGGTAGGACAGTGGTCTCATCTTTGCTTCTGACTATTTCATTTGCCTTTACCATCTCCATGAAAATGTGGGCAAGGCAGACATGGGATGTAGAATTCAGGAAATTCACTTTCCTACTTGTTAAAACCCTGAAAGCTAATGGTTAACTGACGAGCTGTGGATTTATAATAGCCATGCTCTCCTGAGTTCAAAATCATGTAGGAACAAAAGTCAGCAACACATTCTATATACTATGAACTTACCTGATATCTTGGCCTGGCCGAGCTTGCACCAGAATTCGGACTTCAAGTTCTTCAGTGCCCTATAATAAGAGGAATTTTTGTAATTTCAGATAAAACAATTGATAGAATTTCTGATCAATAAAACTTAGCTCCTCAGATGCTTTTATCATCAGACAGGCCCAGAATATATACAAATATAGAGAAACAGAAAATCATTTGCTAACCCCTTTGAACATGATGACTTTCTATCATAGATTCCTGCTAAATAAGGTTTGATGCCAAGGAATAAATACAGTATTTTCACACTTTAAAAAATATATACCAATTAAAATACTGAGTCTTACTTTATAAGTAGCCTTCTCAAGGAAAACTAATTATAAATGTACAGGGCAGGGCAAAAGTAGGTTTATAGTTGTCCATATGGAAAATAATACAATAAATAATATGAGGATAAACTGTTACACACTCACAAGTGTAAACCTACTTTGGCTCCACCCTGTGTATATATTTGGCTACACTAATAGATGCAGTGAACGTGTAAGGAGATAACTTATCTCTTCTTTCCGAAGAACCATGGTTGCAATACTATTCCAAGGTCCCCAAATTATCTGTAGACATTGCAGTGAAGGACTGATCATCTGCCTGGTAGTAAATCTCTGTAAAGTAATAATGGTCATCAGTTTTTTTACTGATGGCTGTGAACAATATTGTGACACTGTGACTGCATCTTGTCATCTGGCAGAGTCCGAGGATGCACATGCTCTGCATTTCAATGCTCTGTGAGGGCAATAAATCTGCTGACAGTTTTAACAGCAAGCAATGTGATCTGTATTCCAGGAGGTGATTTTATAAGCCTGACATGTGGGAAGATGACATAAAAAAACCCCAGGTCAAGAAAAGTGGCTGTCTCTCAGCATAGCCAAATTTTACTATATGCTGGACCAGGGGAATATTATTAACTCCAGCTTTTAAAATATGAGCTATCTTAAACTTCTTCACAAAGCAATTAAGATAACCAGTCATTAAAACCTCAGTTGAAACTACTTTTTTGACTGGTGGCTGATCCTCTGGTTTCAATAATTGCCACTGGTTTCAGTGAAATGAAGGCCTGCTTAGACCAAAAAGGGTCCCAATGTCCTTCATTTCGAGCAACAGAGGGAGAACTGGCATGAATTTAATATTTCCAGGCTGTCATTTGGTGGCACACATTCTCCCGAAGTACAGATACTAGAGCTGAGTGCCACTTGGTTCAAATGTTTGGCTTAGTGAAATGTTCAAGAACTTGCCCAAGTGTTCTTTGTTAAATTCTTCCTATTAAATTCTCCTTCACATTTTATCAGAAGGTAGTTTCAATTAAAAAATTTCTCAGCCAGAAGGTATGCCAACAATTAGTACCTCTGCTTTTCTATCTTGAGCCAGTTTCTTTCCTTGTTTGCATGTGAAGTTTTTTTTGAACAAATGTGGTTCAAAGTTTGGTATAATCACAGTGATGATCATAAAAACATCTCCTATAACAAAAGATTATAGGCAATTCCTAAGCCTAAGGCAATTCCTTATTTAGTGGAGACCCATACAGTACATTGTAAACTCCTCACATAACCAAAAACACTGGGTTGATCTCATAAACATTGCAGAAAATGAGCATAACTTAAAATGCTGCTGCAGGAATGCAGTGATAAGACCTGGTGATGACGTACATCATCGGACTCCCTGATAAGTTCGGTATCTTCTACTTGTACGACTGCATCAGCACCGCAGGGGATGGGAGCACCTGTTGTAACCCGCATGACTTGTCCAGGCATTACTGTCTGAGTTGGCTGGAAATAGGAACATGTAAGAAAGAGCTGATTTACTTTACTGCTGCAAAGGAAAAGTAACATTTTCCTACAGGAGATGTTACATTTTAAGAAACAAACCATAAAAGGAAAGTCTTATGGTCTTATTCATTTTGGGCCAAAGTAATGAAAGCTACCCCCAAACAGGTTCACTCACACCAAGAGGCTTTAACTTGATTTATGGTAATGACCATTATATAGATATCTTTCTTGGTGCTCTGTTTTCCTTTTGAAGAACTGCCACTTAAATTTGCCACTACTGTCTCTCACTCAAATGATGTGGTTTTTCTTAATATGTGTAAAGTGACTTGAGAATCAAGGAAAAAAATGCCATGCAATGTGATTTTTGTGAATGACAATTATGAAAAACCAGCACGTTAGTCATTGCTTAAAGTTCTGATATTTGAGAAAAGTAATTTATAACTAAACTTTTTGGTTAAATATAGGCAAGTCAGAAAAATCAGATTATTGGTCTTGAAAATCTTTCTAAAACATATTAGTTCATCTTTCAATTCATATTAAAAAGTCTAGTTAATATAATTAATTTAAAAATGATTCCAGTGTCTGTACTGATTTAGGTGAAACACTATATTCAAAGTTCTCATTGTCTGTCTGAATGGCACAGGGGACTGACCACGGGGCCTGCCCGGCAAACTTCTCCTATCACAGGGAAGAGTGTATTTCTGTCAGATCCATCTAATAGGTCTAAGAAAAGGCCTCAGAAAAGTCACTTGTCATTGGCCATATTTTAGGTCAGAACTGGGGAAAAAATGCTTCAGATTTCTCCCAAAATAAAACTCTGAGATAATATTAATTCCCCAATAAAAATATATTACAAAGATCTGCCTCATAAGTATTTATTTTAAAATTTAGGTCACAATAATGTGAATATATTTAACAGTACTGTACACTTAAAATGATGAAGATGGTATCTTTTAAGTTATGTCTTTTAACAGATTAAAATAATTTTTAGGAAATAGCTAAGGAAATATACCTCTCCAATGGATATACAACTGAAATAAAAGTGGACATTTACTTCTTAGAACAGCCTTAAAAAGCTGCTTTCAGTACTATCACTACAAACAATATCACCAATGATATTATTTGAACCCTACTCTGTGTTAGGTACAGTGTTAAGTGCAATGTTACATTCTGTTTAGGTTGTTACCTAAGCCTGATAAAAGGCGAGTATTTGTTTTATTTTCTGTTTGCCTCTCCAGATCACATCATTGTACTATCCTGAGCTAAGGCCTAAAAGGCTGACCTCTATGGACTATTTCAACCAGGTTTCCATCACCGGCTTCTGGTTAGGTAAAGCCAATGTGAGGGGCCAAAAGGAGATTAGAGGGGAGAAGAAAGAGAAAAGTCGAGTTTATATTCCCTTTGTTCTTTCCCTGCTGGGCTGTAGGTGAAGGCTCTGTCTCACGTCTACTGCTGAGGGGTGGCCCTGTCCCATAGCTATGAATCTCCATGGGTCCAGGTTCCACTCTTTCCCTTCGCTCCTTCAGACTAAGAGGTGGTAATAGAGTTTCACTCTTAACTTTGGAGTGCTTCACATTCCTTTGTTAGTTTCCTTTAACCCTGCCTGCATCTTGGATATAGTCCCTGTATCAATCTTCATAATCACCCCTTTCCAGGCATATTTATTGCTCTATCATTCCAAAGCCTAGAAGGTACCTGGCCCAAAATTGGTAGCCAATAAATAGTTCTGGAATGAATAAATGAACACAAATAATGTCATTATCACAACTGCCTGAATTGTGATCCTTTGTGGTTTACACCTCCGGTGTTATCCCCGCTTTTCTCCCACAAACAGTGAAGGGGATTTTTGGGATTGAACTGTGTATCCCCTTATTCTGTTCTCTGAAGAAAAGACATTCCAGGCTTATTCAAAATTGTTGTATTTTAATGTAATATTTTACCAAGGTAATGCATAGGATTTAAAATGAAAAGTTTAGGGCCCAATACACTCAAATTTCTTCTTTAATATTCAACCCCAGATACTTCTCCTCCTCCTCCTACTACCTATTGTCTGGTACATCTCTTAATATGCTGTATATGACCATTTTTGTAGTACAGTCACCTCTGATGAAAAACACTGAAGGTATGATATGACATGTGTTTTTTAGTAGAGATGCTAATGCCAAAACAATCTTCTGAGCCTGTGGAAAAAAGGCATTTAATATAGGCCTAATGAGGTCCTTCCTTTGCTGAAAGCGCTTTTTTGGCTAAGGCAAAAAGTAAATCCTAAAGTAAGTTTCAGGGCCTTTGCTTCTTAAGCTGAAGTATGTTAGCATGAGGCCCTACCTTAATTTAGTTGGGTTCAGTGTACCATATACTGTAAATATACTTTAAGGTTTACTGTAGTTATATGTGTACTTTTTTCTACTTCTTACTTAAATCAACACTTAAGAAGTGTTTTGTGTGATTATTAAATAAAAAATTTGGCACCTCTCCAAGACTAGTCTAAATGATAAATGAAAGATCACTACCAGCTCACTTATATTAAATACAATGTAAAAGATATTATTAGATATGTAAAGACATTTATATATCCATTTAGAGTAGATGTATAAACTGCACTTGAATTGAATCAATGGACAAACTCTAGCAATATGTGAAGTATAATTACTTCTTTTAAACTGTTAAGACTAGTAACTAATTCTTTATTGATATACCTATATGCTTTATATAAAAAAAGTTTAAATATTGATTTTTCTTTAATGGTTATATTAAACTGGAGTTTTTGAGCTTTGTCCAATGACAGCATTGTATAATTAAATAATATTTTCTTTGAAAGTGTCCAGTGCTAATCAATAGGACCAAACCACACTCTGTTTAAGACCAATTATTTTGGTACAGCAAGAAACCATTCTGTAAATCACTTTCTCAGTGTACGCAATGGCACCTCAATGCTCACGTGTATGTCTTTCAATAAGTGAGCAATCTGACTCATCTGTATGATATGTAAGTTAAAAGGATATCACAGGTAATTAAAAGAAAAACCACCCATTTTTTGGGTATAATTTTGATATTCTTTTTCCCACTAGACTTCTATAAGAACTTACAAGAAGTTGGCAACTTTTAAATTTCACAACTTTTCTTGAGCTCCTAGTTCTTGAGAACAGTTCGTGGTCTTAGCTAGCAAATAAGGTTTGTGAAATCCACAAAGTCCTTAGCAATGTGCCGCTGCCTATCCAGATGTGTTCTAGGCCGAGACTACCACAAACTATTTGCAGTTCCCTAAACATTCCATGTAATTTTAAAAACACTTCTGGAATGTAGTTCTACTCAGAATATTGATGTTTACACAGGAACAAAGAACCATCCAATCCCAGGGCTCAAACATGTTTGTTGGCATGTCTGTGAGACATATGACCTACACAAGCCATACATCAATAGATGAAGATTCTTTCAGTTAAGGAAGAACTGGTTCTTCTAATGGGAATTGTCCCTTAATCTCTTTAATAACCTGTCTAATGATTCTCTAAGATTTCCCTTACAATGATGGTAGAAATTAGAATTAGATCCTGAAAGTCCATGCAAACTGAAATCTTTAGGACCTGTCAGGCCTATGAACCTCACCTGCTCACCAGCTTGGGATTCCCCAATGATGAAACGATCTCCTGGGCCATCAGCAGCTGTGAGATGAACAGAACCAAGAACAAACATCAGAATGGACCTATAGCAAGGAATAAAAACCTAGTGTTGGAATTCTAAAATTTGACTCAAATGATCATATAAGGATTCAGGAAAATGGAATACATTTTTGATCTCCCAGACGAGATAATGGCTTTGTTACTCCTGGTTTGATCTGTGGTATCCAAAACTCACAAGTACCCACAGAAGTATTCTTAATTTGTGCTCTTTCTTGGTGCCCTTTGATATGGTTAGTCTTCCTGTCGCTTGATAATTTACACATGTACTTTTAAAGTAGGAAGTTCTTTTTTGCCTACCCTCCTAAAATGGATATCACTATATAGATCACGGATATCACTATATAGATCAATATTTTTCCATTTTCTATATAACTTGTACAGTTTTCCATAATATTTTCTTATTTACCACTCACTTGATCTTCATAATAACCCAGTAAAGTAGGAAAAACATACATTCTTTTCCTCATTTGACATTTGAAGATAATGAATCATAGAATGAAGGAACTCAGGTAGAAAATGTTAAGTACATCGAACAAGTTCTGGTTAGTGGTAGGGCTAGGACTAAAATCCAGCCCTTAATTCCCAGTACAGTGTGTATGTGTGTGTGTGTATATATTAATGGGCCAAAATGTTATTTCTGAATCAGAATGCATGGGCAGCGCTGCATCACATTTTCCACTATTTTAAAATGGGAAGAAACCCTTTCGCAATTAAGATGAGAAAAAAAACCCCACCCACCAAAACTTCTTATCCATTGTTTTTCTACATACGATACAGTAATGATAGGATAAAAATATTCCAAGAGATAAATGCATTCCAAGGGGTTTCTTCATAGATGATATGGATTTCAGACCAATACTACTGAAAAGGCAATGCCTAGCTAATGACTTTTAAGATGAGGACAATTAATTCCGTGTTATCTGCCTATAGCAAAGGTTTGAGACAGATACAAAGAAAAGACAACACTTTCTCTATAACTATTTTAATTATATTTGCAATCATGCTGATAAATAATAAAAAGTATTTTCCTTTTTTAAAAGGGACATATGAAACTCATTATTTCTCTATGTGACTACAATGTCACATTTTTACTAAAGGCTTATAAACAATACTGTTTACAATGAGCTACTCTTTTTGCACAGATGGCTTTGGTTAACCTACTGTGGAGAGAGACACAAGAATTAACATTGGGTGTCTTCTATGTACAAGATGTTGGCTCTTGTGCTCCCCAGACATTATCTCAGTTAATAAACTCTCCGTTTCCTTGTGTGTGTGTGCTTTTAAATTATTATTGTATTTTCAGTGTTCACTGGTAAAAAAAAAAAAGAACAGTATTCCTGCATAGTTATTCTTATTATGCTGTTTTCATGGGTCCTTCTTTGTTAAAAACTTTTTTTTAAGTGAATAATTTTAAACAAACATAGAAGGCATTGCTTCAACAATTATCAACATTTTACCAATCTTGTTTCATCTATTCCCCCACTTACTTTTGCAGTATTTTAAAGGAAATTGAGATTTTCTTACTGTAGATGATAAGAACTCAGTTACCTTTCAGAGCTCTGCCCTCGATGCATCTCAAAGGTGAATACATTTATTTCAAATTATTTTTCTACTAACGGTATTACCAGCTCGCCATCTCTCAGCAGCAACCTAGACATTTTCTCTTTTTACTTCTTTGCAAGGAGGGAAATTTGCTGGTTTTAGAGTAAAATAAAGCTGAATCCGAATCTTACTCATTCTCTTGGTTCTGCCTCTTACTAGCCTCAGGATTTTTGGCAAATTGCTAAACTTTTTTCTAGCCTTCAGTTTTCTTGTTGATAAAAATGGGGATAATCATTCTTTAAAAATACTAACATCTTTTAAAGCTCTTCATTTCTTTCACTCATTCACTAAATTTCTACTGTCTTTTATGCCCCAAGTGTCACACAGGTGCTGAGATAGAGTCAGGAGTAAAACCAGACACTGTTTCTAGTCACAAGAGAAGGTGAGCTCCAAAATCAACTTGTAAACAATTTTTTTAAATGAGAAAAAATAGAAAATATATTTATCATGCATAGTAAGGATAAATCCTATTTCATGAAGTTTATTTTTATTTACATGTGTGCATATGTATATTTGTATGTATTGTATATATTATATGTGTGTGTACATCATTAGCATGTACTATATACTTTATTTAATGTGTGTCTTCCTATGAATGTGGTTAAAATAAAACTCTTAAAGCCACTGATGTAATCGGGTAGACGGTTACTAATTAATCATATTAATGTATATAGAAACAAATTAAGAAAACCACTCTAAAGGAACATGGTTTTATGAGAGCATACAGTGAAAGTACCCACACTACACTAAAGGGTCAAGAAAAGCCACCCCGATACAAGGAATTTTGATTTGAATACGAAGGATGAATAAGGCTAACTAAGCAAAAGGTAGGGATGTATGTGTGTGTGTGGGGGGGGAGAGATACATATGAAGTGGAAAATGCTCTATCTGAAGATCTTCACCCGAAGACAGCAGTATGCGTAAAGGCCTTTGGTTCATGTCTTCCTTATATCTTATATTCTAGCCATTCTCAACTTCTAGCACTGTAGCTCCCTGAGATGACTCATATTTCAGCCCCATAACATGAGCTCTTCCCACTGCTTGGAATGTCCTTTCTTTATTCCTGTCTTTGATAAAAAAATTCTCAGCTTTTAAGACTCACTTCAAATGCTATTTTTTATGATGTTATATCTGATTCCCCTTCCTCTTTTGTTTCTCCAGTTTATTACTCAAATAACTCTATTTATGGTTCCTAATATATTGCAATTATTTGCTTATTTTTCTCAGGGGAATCCCTAACACTTGCTGTAAAATAAGCATTCTATACATGTTCAATATGTAAAGTATTCTAAATGTCCAATAAATGGGTGTGGCTTCTAAGAATCTTTTTAGAAAGATGCATGAATGAATAAACAAATATATATTACTTTTCAACACAAAATGCTGTATTTTGAATGCCTTTCATTTTCTGCTAGGTACACTGTTTTCTAAATGTGTGTTAACATTCACTATCTTTAGAATGTTTAGAAAGACTGTTCTGATGGAGTCTATATAACTTAGGTAATGTTGCCAGTTATTCAGTCAAGAATAGTGTCTAGTTCATCATTAATACTCAATAAATATTGTTAAAAGAATGCAGACATGAATTTGGCATTTTCATAATACTTAGGTGAGAACTTATTGTAAATTTATTGTATGTGTTACTATTGTGTTTTATCAATCTCTTAAAAATACTTTCATAATTGTATATTTTCTCTTATGAGCTCTGTAGAAATAGGGATCATTTCCTTTCTTTTTTGAAACCTCTTTCTCTTCAATCTTCCTCCCGTCTCCTGCATCCTCACATGTGCAAATGAACATACACTCAAAATGTTTACAGCAATGTTCTGCACAAATATTCTAAATAAATGTCACTGAATAATGAGTGGCTGGAGATCACCGGGGGCAAGCCTGGTACAGAGTTCTGGGAGGCCAACACCTGAAAGAGCCTTAAATGATTCTAAGCAGTAAGATTAGGGAAGGTGCGCTGAGGAGAGAATATGTGCTCACTTAAACTACGTTCTCCACCTTGTCCTGGGAAACAGGCCTCTATACGGAAAGCTCAGTCAACCAACATTATAGAAGGCTCTTGGAACCAAGAGAGAAGTCAGTTCTTTAAAAAATATATTATTTCCCTCATAATAGTGTTTCTTAACCCTTAAAGTGCATATAAATCACCTGGTGATCTTGTTAAACTAGATTTTGATTCAGTGGGTCTGTGATAGGGCCTGAGGTTCTTCTAACAAGCTGATGGTGATACTGCTCATTCATGAACTACTCTTTTTGAGGAGCAGAAAAGACTGCAGTGGAAATAGACGAATTCAAACTAAGAGAAAACTGAAGGAATAAAAAAATCAGCGAACAACTGAAGTCCTGATTTTACATTAACACCAAGATTTACTATTTCTTACAGGACCAATTTGATATATATTAAAAAATATCTATTAAAGACACAAGCAAAAGAAAAGTTAATATTTTCAAGATGAATTTTACAAGCTTGGGTGTGAGGGAACTGAGGTGGAGGGACAGTGGTATTATGAACTTAAAGCCTGAAATGAAATTAATGCCACAGTATGCCATTAAAAAAGATGAATGGATTCCAAGAATTTCTGTAAAGGCTTAGTATCTTCCAGTCCCCCCACTCCCCCACCAATTCCGACATTTCTGTTAATACGTTTTCTCTTTCTGTTTTGTAATAGTAGAATTTAATTTGAAGGAGTGGTAAAGCAATATAAACCAAATCCTAACAACAAATGCATTAGGTAAGTAATTTATAACACTTAATACTAGATCCTGAAGCTGCTCCCATGTCCACCGTTTTGTTAACGTCCAGAAAACAATTTTAGGTAGTCTTGTTTATCTGTTTACTTAAAGATTTATGATGATATCATTTGATATAAAATTAATTCCATTAGGTAGCTCTTCATTGTGGCAATGTATAGAAAATAATCTTCCCAAGCCATTTGCTATAAACTTACTACTCATTTTCATTTTCCAGTCATATGTGAGCTCTCTTTAAGCCTCATGAAATGCTTGACAGATATTAATTTCTTTTTAATAATAAAGAGTCTCATCATTTCCATGTTAGGGCTGAATAAAGTGAGACTATAGAGATAGCAGAGATCCTAGGAAATATCTTCAACAGAGGAAGAAAGCAGAAGGATTAAGAATTTGTTTATTGCGCCCTGGCTGGTGTGGATCAATGGATTGAGCACTGGCCTGCGAAACAAAGGGCAGCGGGTTCGATTCCCAGTCAGGACACGTGCCTGGATTGAGGGCAAGGTTCCCAGTAAGGGCCATGTGAGAGGCAACCACACACTGATGCTTCCCTCCCTGTCTCTCTCCCTTCCCCTTTCTAAAAATAAATAACATCTTCAAAAGATGAATTTGTTTACTTTGATAATGGAACCAAACTATCTAAGACCAGGATGATAGGCAGTAATAGGGTAATAGTATTTCAGTATCCTAAAAGTAAGATTATAGGAAGAATTGGGGTGGGGAAGGGGAAGGTGAGAAGAGCAGCACAAAACAATTAGTACTTGCTGCAGTTATACTGAGGGAGCAAGTCAGGTGAGTTGTTTGGAATTTTAAATCTGTCGCCTTCTCTTATGGAAAGCAGGGAGCTAGGAGAAAAACATTCATTTATTCTTAGTATTGGTAAAAGAGAGATTATTTCCTTAAATAGAGTATTAATTAAAATTACTTATTCCAAATTATATCTCTGCTCACATGAGAAATACTCCCATAATCACAAGGCCTCTTCCTCATCCGGAGTGTCCTATAGTGGAACTCAATAGGCTGTCAAATGAGTTAGGAGAAGCAGCTATGGCCAAAGAGGTTCTGAATGGCCAGAACGAAAACCCTGGAACATGACTTTCATGCAGGATTAAGAACTAGCTTTAAATCAAAGAGGTTACACTGATAAATAAATAAATGGAAATAAAGGTCATACTGAATTAATCTACTGGAAAGAGGTACAAAGAAATGTTAATAGTGGCTAGAAAGTGAGATAATGGGTAATTTTAAATGTTCTTTTTCATTTTCTGCATTTTCCATAAGCATATACTTCAATCAGAAAAAAAGAGAAAAACTTTAAAATTTACTTTACCCAAATGGCAAGGATTTCTCTTAATACAACCTCCCAGAATTGTTTGTAACATGTAGTTATCAAAGTAATTGCTGACTTGTTATAATTTTCCCTTCTTCTAAATGACCCCAAAACAATTTTTGAAGGGATAAGCCTTCCAAATTGAACATTTCAAGCTAAATCTGAAATTCTGAGATATTTTTGCCTTTATTAATGTGTAAGAAGAATTTGTGTAAGAAAGTTGTCTAGTTTCATTTTTTTGAATGTATCTATCTAATTTTCCCAGGACCATTTACTGAATAGATTGTCTTCACCCCATTCTATGCTCTTGGCTCCTTTGTCAAATATTAATTGTTCATATAGGCATGGATTTATTTTTGGGCTCTGTATTCTGTTCCCTAGACCTATATGTCTGTTTTTATGCCAGAACCATGTTGTTTTGATTACTATGGCCTTGTGGTGTTAACTTGTTATCAGGTAGCATGATATCTCCACCTTTGTTCTTTTTTCTCAATATTGCTCAGGCTGTTTGAAATTTTTTGTGGTTACATATACATTTTTCGAAGATATGTTCTAGTTCTGTGAAATATGCCTTTGGTTGCTTTTTTTTTCATGCAACAGGATGGGCAGACCTAGAGGGTATTATGCTTAATGAAATAAGTCAGTCAGAGAGGAATCTAAAGAACAAAACAAACAAAATTGAAACTGACTCATGTACACAAAGAGTAGCCTGGTGGTTGCCAGAGGGGTGGGGGGGCTGGGGGGCTGGGAGAAAGAGGTGAAGTACAAATTGGTAGTTACAAAATAGTTATGGGATGTAAAGTAAAGCATATGGAATATAGTCAATAATGTGGCAGTAATTATGTATGGGTCCAGTTGCGTAGTAAAAATATTAAGGGAAACACTATGTAAAGTATACGATTGTCCAATCACTTAGCTGTAAACTTGAAGACAATACATAATAATATTGAAGTAAACTGTAATTAAAAAAAAAAGAGAAATTGTATGATAATGGGAATCCACCCACATCTCTACAGGAGGGTGTGAATGCATCAAGATGACTGATTAGCTTAATGAGTGTTAATGAGGGAGAAACAGCTTAAAAATATGAATAAAAATATTGTATTGATTCTAGTTGATAATACACTTTCATTTTCTTTTACCTTTCAAAGTCACTCCTGCTGAATGCAGTTTTAGGTTCATTAGGTCACAGTTCTTCCTATTATTTAAATCCTCATCACTTGATTCCTGCCTTCTATACATCTTATTCTATCTTAATTTTTAAAAGCTGTTCCTATTTCTTATTTCCTTAGTCATTTTTTTTTTACTGTCTTGATTTTTCAACCCACATACCTTAAAGCAAGTGATCCTCCAACTGGTTTGGAGTTTTATGCCACATATTTCTGAAGGATACTGGCTAATGCTTAGTGATCCCGAGCAAGTTAGCAACCTCTTTACACCTAGAGAGTTAGCAATGCTCACAGGTGCCACTGGTTATTACTGGAAGGCCTAAGGCAAAGGCAGAGGAGAAGAAAAAAGGGAGAGTAAAGGGAGTGGGGAGAAAGGGATGACAAGTGAAGGAGGACAGGGGTGGAGAGAAGAAGGTACACAAGTAGAGTGGCAGAGAACCACAACAATAGCCTCAAGGATATTCTTACCAAAACACTGCCTGGCGGTGGTATTATAACACAGGGAAGAATAAGATCTTTTCTTATAAGTGTCTTTTTGTTCACTGATGACTTTTGCTGCTTTAATTAAGATGCTGATATATATACACAGATATATCAACCATTCCCAATTTGAGATTTAACTATATCCACAATGTCATCTGTTTTGTGTTATGTCTCTGCTGTATGTTCTATATATTAGAGAACTATCAAGACTTCACAGGAAATAAATCATATGAATTGGATGGATGCATGATATATAATCTGTTGAAAATTTTACACTGTGGGATGTCATTTTAGACGTTTTTCTCTATGTCAAACAAAACTAAAACCCTACCACTTCAAAATAAAAGAATAAATAAGACACTGAGTTATGACTTTATATAAAAATTTCCTTGATAGATTCTATAGCAGGAGGCTCTTTTGTGGCTCATGGAGGATAACTGGTCTTCTTGGCAATAAGAAAAGCCGAGAGCAATAGTTTCTTTTCATTGAGCTGCTGCTACCTCATGAACAAATCACAGAACAACATTCTATTTGGGGATAATTTTGCCTCAATTTATTTTCTCACTTTCTCCTACTTTAGGTTACAAAGGATGTAAAAGATAGTCTTTTTTGCCCCTTTGTTATTTCATTTGTTGTAGCTGTTTGTCCTATTCTGGAAGTAAGAATTTTTTTGTGTGTGCTTTCATTGCAATATTTTATGGCTACCAATTTATAAGTTCAAAACAGAATTTATATTTTGGATTAGGAATAAGAAACAAAAAGATCCAATGAGGCTGTCAGGAGATTAAAATAATTTTATTTCTGGACAATATGCATTATATAATATATACTGCAGAAAGACTACATTTGGAAAAAATTTGTTAGGGATTTTTTATTTATGTTTTCAGAAATACTCTAATTTAGTGAGATCAAACTGAACAAGATGCATCTAAGACAGTGTTTCTGAGAAAGAAAACACTAGTAGGAATTAATCTCTTTACCATTTTATTTACATAGAATATGAGGTTAACAATTTACATAAATGCTACACTTTTTTCAGAGATGGTGTAAATAACTGTGTTTATCACAATAACAGTAGTGATAGTCATAGTACTATTATTAAACATTTAAAAAAACAATTATGGAGTGTTTTTTTTTTTGTGGTGTCAGGAAATTTACTAAGCCTTTTTATAGTCTCATTTAGTCTTCACAACCATCTATTGGGGCAAGTACTGTTATGATTATCACCATTTTACAGATGAGAAACTGAGGCTCAAAAAGTTTAGGTAATTTGCTCAAAGTTATATGGATGGAACTGGTACTAGAACCCAGATCACCCTTAACCACTTCCTATACTGCCTCTGCCATAGAAAGATTCTGGTATGAGATGGCGATGGAACACGGAAATTAATGGATGTATTTAATTTCAAAAAAGAGAAAATTATTTCAATAGCTAGATAGAGTAAAAAGAAAATAATGACAAAAAAAACCAAGTAAGAGACTCCAGAAATGATCATTACAAAATAATTGGTCTTAACAGCTTTGATAAGCTGGGAAATGTTTTTGGACATTTCTTTGACGACATCAACCTTGAGCTAATAAACAACAATAGTTTCTAGGCAATTCAGTTGCATTTTCATTTTGGGTTCTTAGATGGGACTTTAGGCAGGAAGATGCTATTTCATATGTGTTTTTAAGCTTTACGTAGTCTGGGGCAACTCTGACGGTGTGAGCTGCTGGTACCATCTGGGCCTTCAGAGGTTTGAAATATGGCATCTTTCAAACAATTAGAGGTTTCCCTCATGCTTGCTTTTTTATAAAGCCTTTATTGATGTGTGAGTTTAAAGCAAGAGAAAAGACCACCCACTTTATTCTTACGTTGGAAATCTGCTCTTCTTTCTTGTGCCATATAGATGTTTTCAACTGGAAAACATATGGCAAACCTCCAGATCAGGCAAGACTGTCTACTGTCTGGTATGTGTAGAGGTTGAAATAAATTACAGAATAGTGTTTTTAAAACTAATTTCTACATTTATTTGTAAATAAGATTTTCAAGCAACTATGGTAATTTCACTGAAAAGTCTTAAACAAGATTGTGTCAGAAAATATATAGGTATAGGTTAATTTTGTTATCTGTGAATAAAATCATTTTGATAACAAGGGGGAAACAGATTTAACTGTTGTTGGATGCCTAGGTTGAGCAAAATATCTGGGAAAAAAAGTACAATGTGAGTTATGATGATACTCAAGAAAGCCAAAATATTTACCTCGAACAGCATAGCCATCTTTTACTGATGCTGGGAAGGGGGGTAGATTATCTTTTGCATATATATCTTGAGCAAGGACTCGGCCCATTCCATCTGAAAGAAGAGAAAAGAAGCAAACCATGGATGTTGAGAGTGATGGTTAAACAGGCAGTCATAGAAAAGTTAAGCAAGTGTGCTTTTCTGGCAAGGCTTGTCCACATGCTCAGTCAGTCTGAAATGAAAGACTAGATTCAAACAATTAATAGTAATACCTGCAGAGATTATCTGAATATGAGTAGCTACAAAGTCATCAAAGATGTGTTCAAGTTGACATGTCATTGATTCTTTGACAACCCAAAGATGACTTTACAAAGCCAATTTTTAAACATTTTCATACCCATTAACATGGTAATTTCACCTGTAGAAATATATCATAATAAAATGACTAAATCTTTTTTCCCAAAAGATTTATTTATTTTTAGATAGAGGAGAAGGGAGGGGGAAAGAGAGAAATATCAATGTTTGGTTGCCTCTCGCATGCTCCCTACTTGTGACCTGACCCACAACTCAGGCATGTGACCTGACTGGGAATTGAAACCCTGACCCTTTGGTTTGCAGGCTGTTGCTCAATTCACTGAGCCACACCAGTCAGGGCAAAATGACTAAATCTTTATGCACATGTTTATCTCAGAGTTGCTTACATTAGTGAGAAATGGGAAGAAATAAAAAACCCAATAGTACAGACATTTAAATAGACAATGATCTATACTTATGGCAGATAAAAATATACAGGCCAAGTAACACTTATGAAGAATATTCACTGACACAGGAAAGTTCTTATAATATAGTTAAAAACATGCAGAATTGCACGTTTAGTTAAGATACATGCATATATCAATAGAAAAAGATGGTGAGGGCATACATGAAATACAAAGCATTATTTCAGTATGCTAGAATTCTGTATGATTTTTATTCCCTTTGCTATACACTTTTCTGAAAATTTCTAAGTTTTCTAAAATAATCATATCATTTTTCTGAATAATTTTCCTTATGAAGAGATAAAGAAAAGAACTTCCTTATCATTCCATTTGAATTTTTGCCTTGATTTTGGCTTTATTAACCTAAAAAAAATTAGCAACTATAAGAAAAGGGCAGCAACCTACAATGTGAAGTGGTTATTAAAAACACTCAGGATGACAATTATTTTTGGCTAGACCTCAGGAATTTGAAGCAATGCCAACAAGAATAAGTTTCAAGAGTTATGACCAATTCCTTATATCCTCTAGTCAGAATCTTCATTATTGTTATTTGAGAGAAGTAAAAGAGTAGTAAATAGGAGGTGAAGAGGAAGAAGAGGGTTAGGAAAACAGCCCCAAATTTCTCTGCAAAGACTGTAAGTAATTAAGGACTTGATTTACGTGAAATGTTTGTATAATTTAGAAAATAGCATTGTTTCCATAGCTAGATGGGTGAGCTTTTGTGTTTGTTTGCTTTTTGTTTGTGGCTTTGTCCTTCACAGCCACCTAGGACCCTTGGTTTCAAGATCCAGAACCAAGACATAACGACGGAGAGATTTTAAATATTCTACTCTGATGCACAGCAACGGTGACATCTGAATTAGAAGCATGAACTTCTTGGCAGATTTACAGCTTCACATACTGCTAGCAGGCTGAGGCTGTTCTGGAGCTCTCCTACAGCTATGGACCATGGTTTGTAAGATCAGGGAAGTGGTGGGTCCTGAGTGCTGGGTTTGCATTCACACATACAACGTTAACTCCCAAATGAACCTAAGGCTATAAGGCAGTCTCTGGTAGTAAGGCCTGTGGCATTTGCCTAAGATTACAATAAAACTCCTGGGAGAATCCTTATGGAGAAATAATCTGGCCAGTGTAGAAAATAAGAATGTGAGCTCTATACCTCCTCAGATCCCAAGAGAATGGCTTTGCTGGAAATTTAAATAGCTTAAAGTAATTATCAAAGATAGCACAAAGGCTGAGTTTCTCTGTAGTCTGGTCCAGTTAATCTAGTAAATGTATATATAGCATTTTATAAATTATTAAATAATATCACATACATAATTTCATTTAATTCTCACAAAAATCTAGTAAACCATTATTATTTTCATTTTACAGATAAATAAAGAGAAGTTTAAACAGGGTAAATCACTTACCCATGGCCATGTATTTCATAGGTGGCTAAAGTAGAATTGAAGTTTAAATCATTGAACTTCAATCTTTATTACAATGGCCAATAGCTACAATTCATGTTCCCTCTACCTATTGCTTTTCCTCTATTTTTCTGACAGAAAAAAATTTTACAAGGTGATTCGTCAAAAAATTAATATAGAATTACCATATGATCCAGCAATCTGACGTCCAGGTGTATATCCAAAAGAACGGACAGCAGAGACTTGAACAGATATTTGTACACCCATGTTTACAATAATACCAAGTTGCACCTGGGGAGGCCAAGGGAGGCCTCAACCTGATCCAGGTTCTTGTCAAATTCCAAGAAGGAATTTGAGAGCATGACAAATTTAGCAAAGCATAGCACATTTATTAAAACAATGGTATGCATTTGAGAAGTGAGAACGGGTGACCTCGAAGAATGAACTGCTCCAGTGGGTTCTGAGGGGAAGGTTCTTATTAAATGCGGGCAAGGGGTGGGGGATAAGGTGGTCCTTGGCTTCTGATGCTAGTGGGGTGACTAGTGACATGATTCATCCTAGTCCCTCCTCCTCTCCGGACAGAAATTTTTCTTTCTTTTGTCTTCTCAATTACAGGAAATGGGGGAGGGAGAAATAGGGGACTAGGTGGTCAGTGAAGGTCATGACTGATATTCAAGCAAAGACAGAAAGGAGGAGGGGTAGAGTTAGAGGCCAGTGTTTCATATTCTAACTTTTCTGTCTCAATAGCATTATTCACAATAGTAAAAAGTTGGAAGCAACCCAATTGTCCATTAATGAATGAATGGATAAACAAAATGTGATCTATACTAACAGTAATACAAAGTCTGTCTAGAAGGCACCCAGCCACATAATATGAAAGACAGACTTCCAGTCAAGATGGAGGCATAGGTAAACATGCTTCGCCTTCTCACGCAACTGCAGCAAAAATAACAACTAACTACAGAACAAATATCACCCAGATTTATCAGAAAATTAAGCTACGTGGAAGTCTGACAACCAAGGAATGAAAGAAATCACACTCATCTTAATGGGAAGGAGGGGTGGAGATGCAGAGATTCGCTGAGAGGTACAAAGTGGTGGAGAGGCAGGGAGAGGTGCAGAGACACAGAAGGGTGCAGAGAGGCATGGAGGTGTGGAACAGGTGGTCCCACATCCACGTGTGGTGGATAAAAACTGGGAGAGATACCTCGGGGGTAAAGGACCCCAGCCCTAGACCAGATGACCCAGCCCAGGGTTCCAGTGCCAAAAAGTTAAGTCCCCATCACTTCTGGCTGTGAAAACCAGTGGGGGTTAGGGTGGCAAAAGAAACTTCAGGATTCTCAGGAGACTCGTCTTAAAGGGACTGCAACAAACTTTGGACTTAATAAGACCCACTCCCTCTGGGATTAGGCACCAGGGCAACAGCTGGAAGGACACCAGTGGAAGTGCGGGAGAGGTTGGAGTGACTGGCAGGAGAATGGGTGCAGGGAAACAGCTTCTTGCAAGGCAAAACTCCAGAGGCCAGGCAGTGGCGTTGTTCCTCCTCTGAGCCCTCCCACCAAAGAGCCACAAAGTGGTAACATGGTTTGCCCCACTCTGGTGATTACCTAAGGCTCTGCTCCATATGACTTACAGGTGCACTTTTCTACAATAGGCCATGCTACTAGGACATGGAGTGAAAGCAGCTCTACCTAATACACAGAAACAAACAGAGGGAGGCTGCCAAATTGAGAAGGCAAAAAAAAAAAAAAAAAAAAAAAGGCCCAAATGAAAGAACAGGACAAAATTCCAGAAAAAACTAAACGAAACAGAGATAACCAAACTATGAGATGCAGAGTTCAAAGCATTGGTTATCAGAATGCTCAAATACTCACTGAGTATGGTAACAGCATAAAAAAAGACCCAGGTAGAAATGAAGGTTACATTAAATGAAATAAAGAAAAATCTGTTGGGAACCAGCAGCGGGGGGGATGAAGCCCAGAGTCAAATCAATGACTTGAATCATAAAGAAGAAAAAAGCATGCAATCAGAACAGCAAGAAGAAAAAAGAATTAAAAAAAAACAAAACCAAAGACAAACTAAGGAGCCTCTGGGACACGTCCAAATGAAAACAACTCCCAAATCAGAGAGAAGCCAGTAGGAGAAGAGGAAGAGCAAGAAAATGAAAATTCATTTGAAAAAATAATGAAAGAAAACTTCCCTAATTTGGTGAAGGAAATAAACATACAAGTTCAGGAAGCACAGAGTCCCACAGAAGTTGGACTCAAAAAGGACCACACCAAGACACAACTTAATTAAAATGACAAAGGTTAAAGATAAAGAAAGAATCTTAAAAGCATCAAGAGAAAAGGAGACAGTTACCTACAAAGGAGTTCCCATAAGATTATCAGCTGATTTCTCAAAAGAAACTTTGAAGGCAGGAAGGGACAGGCAAGAAGTATTCAAAGTGATGGAAAGCAAGGACCTACAACCAACACTACTCTACCCAGCAAAGCTATCATTTAGAATGGAAGGGCAGATAAAGTCCTTCCCAGACAAGGTAAAGCTAAAGGAGTTCATCATCACCAAGCCATTATTACATGAAATGTTACAGGGACTTATTTAAGAAAAAGAAGATCAAACCTATGAACACTAAAATGGCAACAAATACACAACTATCACCAACTGAATCTAAAAGAGAAACTAAGCAAACAAGCAGAACAGGTACAGAATCATAGGTATGGTGATTACTTGGAGGGTTACCAGCTGGGAGGGGGAATGGGGAAAATAGGGGAAAATGTATGGGATTAAGAAGTATAAATTGATAGGTACAAAATAGACAGGAGGATGTTAAGAACAGTATAGGAAATGGAGCAGTCAAAGAACTATATGCATGACCCATGGACATAAAATAAGGGGGACTGCTGGAGGGAATGAGGGTACTGGGCAGAGGAGGGCAAAAGGGGAA